GGGGCAACCAAGTCAATGGCAGCTAGCAACAGTATCAAAGACATCCTTGTTGTAATTGACCTCTGGCTTCCGGGTCCTAAGCGTTCATCTTCTCAGGTTCTATATGTCCTTCTTGGAACAGAAGGTCTGTGACTGACTCTAGCCTTCTTCTTCTTGTTGATACCTGGCATATACAATCCTCCATGTTCTTTTTTATCCCCAAGGTTCAATTTTCCCGCCGACAGCAGGCCTGTCAGGACTGTGTTCATGGACCCAGAACCGTGTTCAGGACCCTCTTCTCCCAGACTCACCGATTCCTCCCCTCTTGTCCTGTTTGCGTCCTCTCTCGCATCGAGAAGAACACACATCATTGGGAACCTGAGGGTGGGCTCTGAACAGCAGGGACCCTCCCCCACTGGATACTTGATTGTCCTCTTCGAAGAATGACCAGCCCCTGCAGAAACACCCGAGGGTGATCACGCTCCAGAAATGGAACAAAGCATCAATATGGACACTCAGCCAACAGTCTTCTCTTTCCATGTCCTCAGCCATCCCACTGATTTCCATCAGGGCAGCTTCTTCCATCCCTCCTCCTTCCGTCCCTCCAGCTTTCCTTGCCTCTGTCTCTCCCTCCCTCCTGATATCCCGTCCAAGCTCACTCGGACCACCCTTTGCATTTGGTCGCCGGGTCTCTTGAGGCTCCTCCCAACTAGACCAACTCCTCCCCCTTCCCATGGCTTTTGTGACCCCTGACCCTTTTGAAGATGGCAGGTCCGTTCCTTCGCCAACCAGTCCTCCACCTGGACTTGTCTTACTTCAGGTGGGGCCCTTTCAGAAGGACTCCTACAAAGCCAAGCTTCCTCGTAATGTCCTGGCAGCAGGCACACCAGGCCCGTCTGTTCCCGTCTAAGCCTCACGGCCCAGTGGTAGAAGTCTCACCTTCCATGCCTTGCACCTGGGTTTGACTCCTGGCCAGTGCACCTCATGCCCAGCTACTGCCCTTTTCTGTCAGTGTGTGTGGGGGGGTGTTTCTATGATGCCCAACAGGTTTCAGCGGAGCTTCCAGACACAAATGTACTAGGAAGAAAGGCCTGGCCATACAGCCAAAGATCAGCCAATGAATGCCCCACGTCTCACAAGGGGTATGGGGTTGCCAAAGCACCACCAACAATAATAGTAACATCATTCTGACCAATCAAAAGCACAGTTAAGAAGCAGCGCTGAGCCCTGCTGTTCATGGTGAGATGGGGTGGGGGCAATGAGATTTCTGAGATTCACAAATACCCAGAGTCATTTGATGCCCTCAGTGGTTGTGGGGTGAGGAGGGTCTCCAACAAATCATCACAGGTCCGGTAGGCGCAACTGTACAGCGGTAATAAGTAAAGATTATAGTAAAGTCAAAAAGAGCAAGAGAGATAGAGGAGAGATTGAATTAATGGAGTCAGACACATTTCATGGTAGCATGCTCACCTCAGTTCCTCTTGGTGATCTTCATGGGGGGAGCCCGGTCATGAGAGCAGGAGAGAGCCCCAACTTTATTACTAACCAAGTGTTATATCTCATTAGGGGGGCATGATTACAGGTAATCACACGTCACAGGAAGGGGCAGTACAATAGGCATACGCATCGTATGAAGGGAATCTATGATAGGCATAAGCGAGACAGGAAGGGGATGAGCTAGAGGTGTGTCCATGGGAATGGGAAGGTCTAGGGGGATACATGTGACAAGATGGGCGGACACTAGATTCATGATGGCAGCCTAACCTTGGTCATCCTTGGGCGGGCTTGACCTCTCTGGGGTCTCCTACAAGGAGACAACTACTATCCTTATCAGAAGGGAGTGGGCCCTACTTGTTGTGGGATAAACAGTGGTGTCTGCTTGTTCGAGATGGCTGATAACCCTTAGGGAGAATAACCCTGACCTACTCCTGATGACCTCCAAGGGTATAGTCATTCTCAAGCAGCTAAGTTTGGCATCTATTTGGGGGAGACAACTTGGGAGAAATCCTTCTGTTTCCCACAAGTGGTGCCAGGAGGAGTTCTCTCATTTCCCATCCCCTCCCAGAGTCTCACCCCTGACCCTGTTCATGTCACTGCCTCATCCTACCTCCCATAAGAGCATCTGCTTTATGCTGTCCCTCTTATAAATGGAAATCAAGTTACATCATTCACTTGCTCAGGACCCTCCCTTTGCAGGAAACACCACAGTGCTCAACAGGACCAACCGAGGCCCTGGAAGAGCTGCCCCTGCCCTTTCTGACATCGGCTCCCACCTTCTCTTCTTGCTCTTGCCTCTCGAGCCACCCTGCTCTCCTCTCTGTTGCTCCCACACTCCAAGTCTGCTCCTACCTCAGGACCTTTGCCTGGGCTGTTCCCTCTACCAGGAACACTCTACTCCACACAGCCCCTTCCCCTCACTCTCCACCCCTTCACCTCGACTATTTTTCTCCACAGCTCCATCTCCACCGGACACCATATCACACAACTGTTTATGGCCTGTCCCCTGCACTTAATCGGAAGTGTCATCAGGGCAGGTGCTTTTGTCTGATCCCGTTGGGGGGTCGTTTCCCCCAGCAGTCAGGACTGTGCCTGGCACCCAGCAGGTGCTCCATCCTTCTCTGTTGGGTGAATGCACCATCATTCAATCATCCCGTGTGTAACTGTCACTGAGAGGGCTTTCTCATGGGCTATGAGTTCTATGAAGCAGGGGCCTGGTCACTGCTGTGGTCACCCCTCAGCCACCACTTAGTACACGGGCTCGGCACCAAACAGACACCTGGGTCGTGTTTGTTGAATACACGAATGATGTCGAGTTAGGGAATGTGGGCTTTCTTTTGAGAGACAAAAAGCTTCTTACTGGGGGTCTGGGGGTGGTGGAGAAGTAACAAGGTCCATTTTGTCTGCTATTCAAAGTATGATCCACAGACTCAGAGAACTCACAGCCCAACAAGGCCTTGTGAGAAATGCAGTCTACGAGTTAGGGACCCAGGTCTACATTTTAAACTCCCAGGGGCTGGTATGCCTGAGGACAGGGAGAAGCCCAGGCACTGGCCTGGCCTGAAGAACGAACAGCCCAGGCGCTCTGTACCTTGAGAATTTGCATGCGCCCTTCCCTCTCTGAGGAGCCCTGGTGGCAGAGTTAGTCACCGTGAGGTCAGTGGTTTGAAACGAATAGCCCCTTCTTGGGAGAAAGAGGAGGCTTTCTACTCCCATAAAGACAGACGGTCTCGGAAACCCACTGGGGCTGTTCTACTCTGTCCCATAGGGGTCGCTGTGAATCAGCACGGGCACAGTGGTGATGAATCTGGGGTGCCGATTCCTTCTGCTGCCTCCAGCTGCCTTCTCCATTAAGTCACCTCCAGGCGGTCTGCCGTTACCTGTTTCACCCTGCCCTCCTTAACACCTGTTCACCCTCATCGCTGAGTGCTCCTGAGACGCCCCCTTTTCCAGGAAGCCTGCCAGGGATCCTCCTGCCCCCCCATACCAGCGTGCACTCCCTCACCCACTCTCCCCACCCGGTTGGTTCCCCTGCAGCGAGGGCACGCTGGTCTTCAAGCCGGGCGAGACGCTGAAGGAGCTGCGCATTGGCGTCATCGACGACGACATCTTCGAGGAGGACGAACACTTCTTCGTGCGGCTGCTGAACCTGCGCGTGGGCGACGCGCAGGGCATGTTCGAGCCCGACTGCGGCGGGCGGCCCAAGGGGCGGCTGGTGGCGCCGCTGCTGGCCACCGTCACCATCCTGGACGACGACCACGCGGGCATCTTCTCCTTCCAGGACCGCCTGCTGCACGTGAGCGAGTGCATGGGCACCGTGGACGTGCGCGTGGTGCGCAGCTCGGGCGCGCGCGGCACCGTGCGGCTGCCTTACCGCACGGTGGAGGGCACGGCGCGCGGCGGCGGCGTGCACTACGAGGACGCGTGCGGCGAGCTCGAGTTCGGCGACGACGAGACCACGTGAGCGCGTGCGCGGCGGCGGCCCGGGAGCCTGGGCGGGGCCTGCGGATGGGGCGGGGCCTGGGTGGGGGCGGAGCCTGGGGATAGGGTGGGGCTAGGCGCTGGGGCCACGCTGACACGGGGGTGGGTCGGGGCCTGGGAATGGGGTGAGGCTGGACCTTGGTGAGGCTGGGTGCCCGGGTGGGGCCTGAAAATGGGGCGGGATTGAAATGTGAGGCGGGGTCTGAAGGTAGGGAGGGGCTAGAAGCTGACATGGGGTGGAGCCTGGGAATGGGGTGGGGCTAGGACCCTGGGAGTAGCCAGGAGAGGGGGCGGGCCCCCAAATTGGGCAGAGCCTGGGAATGGAGGGTTGCTGGGAGCCTCAGCACCAGCTGAAAAATTGGGTGGGGCTGAGAGATGGGGCAGGTACATTGACCTTGAAATGAGAGATGGGGCCAGAGTTGGGCAGGACCAGGGTGTGGATGGAGTTAGGGGTGGTGTCAGGGGAGGGGCGGGGGCAGAGACAGGGCTACTAGGTTGGCGGTCAAGACAGGGCCAGGGACATGGGGTAGGGCAGTGTCTGTAAGGTGAATTGGTCTGGGGACCAGGCTGGGGGCAGGGCAGGGCAGGGAGTGATGGAGTTGGAGGTAGGGATGTTGTTGCTAGGTGCCAATCGGTAGGTTCCAACTCATAGCAACTTCCACATACAAGACAACCAATCAGTGCTCAGTCTGGGGCCGTCCTCACAATCGTTTGAGCCCATTACTGCAGCTACCATGTCACTGTCTTCTCGAGGCCCATTCCTTTACCAAGCATGAGGTCCTCCTCCAAGGACTGGTCCCTCCTCATCGTGTGTCCAAGGATGTTTGATGAAGTCTTACCATCTTCACTTCCAAGGAGCATTCTGGCTGTACTTCTTCCAAGACTAATTTGCTCTTCTGGTCAACCACCACCAGAACCCCAACCAAACTGACCGCCATCCAGTTCATGCCGACTCATAATGACCCCTATAGGACAGGGTAGAACTGCCCCTGTGAGTTTCCCGAGATTGTAACTCTTTTCAGGAGTCAGAGAAAGCCCTCGCTTTCCTCCCATGGAGCAACTGGTGGTTTTGAACTGCTGACTTGGTGGTTAGCAGCCCAGCATATAACCACAATGCCACCAGGGCTCCAAGTTCATGGTCCTTCAGTATTCATTAACATCATCCTAATTCAACGGCATCAATTCTTTGGTCCTTTCTTCTTTGCCACCCAGCTTTTGCATACATGTGAGTCAACTGAAAATATCCTGGTTTGGGATCAGGCACCCCTTCGTCCTCAGGGTGGTATCTTTGCTTTTGAACTCTTTAAAGAAGTCTTTCGCTGTAGACTTGCCCAAGGCAGTAGGTTGTCTGAGCTCTTCACTGCTGTTTTAGGGGCAATGTTGGTGGATTCGAGTGAAACGTCGCTATTTTCTCTGTCTACCCTGATGTTGCTTGTCGGTCCAGTTGTGAGGCTTGCTGGTTGTTTTCTCTCGGCTGTGGTCTTGACTTTTCGTCACTCAGTGCTGCAAGCCCTCTTTGCTCGACGCAAGCAAGCTGGCGTCATCTGCTTATCACGCAGGTTGCGTGCTATAAGCCTCCCTCTAATCCTGCTACCACGTTCTTCTTCACAGAGCCCAGTTTCTCAGAGCATTTGTTCAGCCTACGGATCGAATAAGTGTGGTGAAAGGCTACAACCCTGCCGCACGCCTTCCTCAGTGTTAAACCATGTAGTGTCTTCTTGTTCTGTTAGAACGGCTGCCTCCTGTTCCGAGGATTAGTTCCACATAAGCACCCTGAAGTGCCCTGGAGTCCCCATTCGCAATGTGGTCCAGAGTTTGGTAGGATCCACACAGTCCAATGCCATCACACACTCAGGAGAACACAAGGAAACATCTTGCTGGTGTTCTCTGCTCTCAGTCAAGACCCACCAGACATCAGCAACGATATCCCTCATTCGACCTCCTTTTCTGAATCCGGCCCAAATTTGTGGACGATCCCTGTGGATGTTAGCTTTCCTCGGCAAAAAAATTTGCTTGTGTTTGATAATAACAACTTATTGTCTGGTCATTTCTATTGGGTCACCTTGCTTGGGAAAGGGGCACAAACAGGCAGCTCTTCCCCTTGATGGCCCAGGAACTGTGTTGTGGATTTCTGGACGTAAACGAGTGAGCAGCGTCAGAGTTGTGTCGGGTTGCTGAAACCTCCCCTCTGGGTTTCCGTCCCTTCCTGGAGCCTGGCTTATTGGCTGGTGCTGTCAGTGAGTGCTGCGTGGACGTATCCCTTCAGGACCACCAACTTTTTATCATATTTAACCTTCTGAAACGGTTGGGCATCCACCAGTTCTCTTTGGTACAGCGACTCTGCCACCTTCTGCGACGCTTCCTGCACCGTTCGGTGCTGTGGCCGGGGCGAAAAAAGCCCCCTGGAGAAGGCGCAGGGGAGGCTTGAGGGACAGGGCTAGGGGAGAAGGCAGGGCGTGGTCAAGGGGGGGGGAGACCAGCATGGGTTTTGAAATGGGCGGGGTTGGAGGCAGAGCAGTGTCTGGAGAGGTAGGTGGCAAGGGAGAGGAGAGGGGAGGCAGGGTTAGGGGTAGCTAGCGAAGGAGATAGAATGGTGGGGGCAGGGGAAACTGGGGAGAGATGCCCCTGGGCTGCGGCCGAGGAGGAGGAGGAGGAGGAGACGGAAATGGTAGAGTGGGACCAAGATGAGGGGCCTGCGAGGGGCGTGGCCTGCTGAGGAGGAGCGTGTGGAGGGGGCGGGGCCGTGAGGGGAGGGTGGAGCCTGCGGACGGTAGACGCTGGAGAGAGGAAGGAGGGGGTGGGGAGGGGAGATGCCAGTCTGAGGGGAGTAAGGCCTAGGGGCATTGGTTGGTAACTGGTGGCGCTGGAGTGTGGCCTTAGAAGGTGTCAGCCCCGAGGAGATGAGGGCAGGATCCGGTCGCGATGAAATGTTGAGGAAGTGGGTGGTGAAGAAGGGACAGGACCTGGGCCACTAAGGAAGGTGAAGGAGTGGGCGGGGCTAGAGAGGGGGCGGGGCCTGAGAAGTGGAAATGAGGAGGAGGAGGGAGAGGGGGACCTTTTGGTTTGGGGGAAGGTCCTGGGGAAATCTCAAGCGCCCTAAGGGACGTGTGGGCGAGGCGGTGGGAAAAGATGTCGTAGGAATAAGGGGGTCTGGAGAGGTGGGGGCTAGTGGCTAAAGGTGGGGTCTGGAATTCGGAAAGATGGAACAGGGGCTTGGGGAGATAAGGCGGACGGACTCGCAGAGACTACAAGGGTGGCTGGCCCAAGGGGACTCGCATTGAACATACAGGGACAGGCAACAGGCGTGTACACACACACACACACACACACACACACACACACACACAGACTCACGCCTCCCAGAGCCCCTCCTCTGATTGTGCGGCCTTTTAC